TTTAAAAATTGAGAGGTGGACCGTGTGCCACCTGTGAAAGGTGTCAAACTTACCTGCCAGATCAACTAATACACTGTATCTGATGACTTGTTTAACTCCCAACCTCTTATTACTTGGTGGGGTAGTGGTCAGATGGTGTGACGGCTGGTGTGATGTTGCTGGCACTCTTGTGTTTGACTCGTGCAACGTGTTTGTTTGCCATTTTTTTTGGTCTACTGATAGAGCGGCCACAAACATATGCAAACAACAACAATAGCCAAACCTTTTCTTTGTTTTATTTCATGATAACCGACAAATTGAAAAAGGAAAAACTTGAAAAAGAAATTGATGTCAAAAGAGACAGTCAGTGCGGCTCAAACTCAAGAAGAAACAAGCCTCTAGGCGTGTTTGATGATACATGAGGGGCCCACAACCAAGTGCGCCACATAACTTTGGGAGAATCGGAGTTTATGGTAATTACAATAGCATTCTTGTATGCATATCTAACACCTTTCACAGGTGGCACACGGTCCACCTCTTGATTTTTAAAAATTCTCAATTTCAACCTTTTTGAATTTGATTGTAGTATCCAAATTTATTTAGAATTTAAACTCTATTTAATGGTGATAAAACAGAGAGCTTCTGGTGTACCCATTATAATCAACTATTTGTTCATTTGGCAATCAAAGGTCCTAGACAGGGGTCTTGGCCTCATTCATCTGTTCCCTCTTCCAAAATTGTGGAAACTCCCAACCACCAAGGCTGTTTTGTTAATCAAGATCTTTTGGAGGAACAGTGTAAAGAATAAATCAATAAACAACAGTATTTGGAAGAGTTTTTTACTTGTTTGTCTGGGATGAAGGTGATTCCTCTACTGAGGCTGTCAAAGAGGGATTTGAAAAAGATGAGACTTTTTTGTGATATGAGTGTCAAAAAACCATTGCCAGATAATATAATAGATAAAGATAAGATTAAAGTTTCCTATGATGTGTTGATATCTTAGGTACCATTTTTGTTGGAATTGAAAAGAAGATTTGGAAAGATCCCCATTGTTAGATCTGATGTTAAAGGTGCTTTTAGGATGATCCCACTTCATCCCCAATATCAACCATGTCAAACCCTTTGTATCAAGACAAGATTTAAAGTGGACCAAAACCTTACATTTGGTTCTTTGGCCTCACCTCACATCTGGTTTGGATTTTTTCTTTAGGCCCTGCTTGATAGCAATTATTCATACAGCAGTATGATTTTTTGATGTAGTATGCTTGCCAATACTACATAATATCCTACCATACTGGCCTGTAGCCTTTGTCCCAAAACCCCTTGCCAAACTTCAGCACTCACTGGATCAGCGTATTGTCAGAAGGTGTTTGATGGCAGCCCAGTCTGTTTTGCAAAATACTTTTTTAGGTCCAATTTGTTGTAAAGCTGACAAACACATTAAACAAGGTTCAACTGTTACATAAAGTGTGATCTGATTGAAATTGGTTTTTGGTTGACGATTTTGATGATTGGGTAGTAATGAACTTAATGCATCAAATTTGGCATGAAGAGATGCCTAGAGTTGAAAGAGATTAGAAGTGACCAAAAGTCATCATCAGTTTCTTCATTTCTCTTGGAGGTTTGATTTGTTTGAAATCCTTTTTACATTTTGAGTTTCATTAGTTTGATTTCTTCCTTTTGATACAATTCTTCTAGGCATATCCTACTGAAATTGTGTTTGACAAAGAAGCTTCTTCTGCCTGATTACTTGGATAACTTGTATAATTTGATTAATGGATTGATCTTGTTTAATTTAACCAATTTTTTTGTCTTTTTTGAAACCAGTTTGAATTCAACACATACCATTTTGTTGGCTCAAGGTGGTGGTCTAATGTTGGGTGGTAGTGGTTAGGTGTGGTAGGGCTGGACTTTTGAGATGGACAAGTCCAACTTTGACAATTTCATTATTTTCAAGAATTGTTTTACTTGAGATTGAACTACATAATTTGGTATGATACTATGGGCAAAAAAGTGCTGAACATGGTATTGGGATACTGCTTTTTTCTTTCAATACTACATTTTCTGTGGTAAAATGAACCCTACCAAGCGGGGCCTTAGTTTTGTGGACGCATGAAGGACAGTTATCACATAAGAAACATGAACAACATGATGGATGATGTGTGGTCAGCAGTGGATACAAAGGATTGGATTACATTTAAAGAACACAGAATTACGGGACCTCAAGCGAAATTGCCTATGGGTCTCAAAATTTGAGGCATTCCTTGGGCTTGAAAGGAGCAAGTGCATGATTTGGCTTTGGGAATGATCAGTCATATGGTCCATTTTAAAAAAGATGAGTAATCATTTGGAGGCTGACAAAAAGCTTTTAATGATTGAGGCTATGGAACACTTTTTCTTGGTTCCTCAACATATGCTTCAAGATTGGCATTCAATGCAAGGTTGGATTTCATGAAGGTTTAATTCAATCCCTTTAGGGTTTTTTAATTTGCAGATTCTGGAATAAAATACAGGTGGAAACTCAGATTGCTTTCTCCTGGTTCATCTGAATAGATAACATCAAGACGCTGCTTGGTTGTTGCTCAGGTACTTTGATTCTAGCAACAGGGTCTTAGCCCTGAAATCTTTGATCTGATTGAGTCATCAAACAGATTCAGTTGTTTTTGTTGACTCACCTTTTGTTGATGCACACCCTTCAGGGACAAGGGTTTGAGAACCTAGGAGAAGATCAGCATATTATTTCCAATTTCCTCTTCCTTTTTGGTATATCTTTTGGGCTGGGTTTTTTAGGGTCATGTTGGTTGTTGATCTTGGTATCAATGAAGGATCAAAAATAATTGAAATTCATACTGATAATAAGAATGTTTTCATGTATCCAATTTTAATTGTCCTAACCAATTAGTTTGATCTTCATTTAGATATATTATTCAAAGGATTGTTGATTTTGTTAAGTGTAAGGTAGCTCATATGTTTGGGCTTAATAATTCTTGTGCTGATCTCTTGTATTGGATACTTGTGGGTGCTGTCAGGAACCAGTACTATCCTTGGTCTATCAAAAAACTTGAAGTTGACCTGGTTTTTTCTGCAGGAGGGGTTGAGATTAATCTCCAACATTTGAAGAATTTGTCTTTACCATGACATTTTCAACCATGAAGGGTTGTTTGTTTGATTATAAAGTTGCTCAACTCAAGGTTCTATCAAAAGAAAATCACCTCCACTATGAATTTCAACAACTCAAATATATGATTGCGGCTTTCAAAGTGTTCATAGGTTTTGTGTTCAGCTTGACTGTATATATGTTTGGGATGCAGAGACTTTATGAGATCACATATCTTATTCTAGCCTCAAGATTTTTCCTCATTTCGTCCAAATCTATTTGATCACTATAGTGTATACAGTCAAATTCAAATTTCCTAATGTTGTTTGCAAATCAAGTGTTTCAATTATCAAGAATACTATGAAAGTTTGGATCAAGGGATAATCAAGCAAAGTCCTCTGACTATTTCTCAGCTTCAATTTGATGTTTCTCAGCTTGATTCTCTCCCAACAACAGGTTGTTTTGAGTTATTCTTAGGGTATAATTTGGTGGTGTGCACCATCTAGGTGAACTTACAGGTCCAGATTCTAGAAAACCATCTGACTCAAGGGAGATTATCCTTCAAAGCTCTTGTAAGTCATTGATTTGTGGTATATTTATTCAGTATCTTCTTTCTTATATAAAAAGTGATTCTGCATTTGCTGGAGCTCCTGGAACTGTTCATTTTTTTGACAATTTGTCTGCTTTTTGTGTTTCACTTAGAGCATCCGCTATTGTTACAGTAAATTTTCTGCAAATTTACTGTAACGGTCTGTAAAGTACAGAGTTGGTACGTACCAAACTCTCAAAATCCACTATTGTTGAGGTAAAAACTCTTCTGTACGGTATGTACTGTACAGAATAGAGTCTGTCCCACAATTGTGCCATCTGTAAAAAATCTGCAAAGTTCAAAGGACCAACCAAATTTTGATATAGGGGTTTTTTTTCTTTGATAAGATGAATTAATCTTGGATTTTATTGATGTGATCTTGAAAATTATAATTTGAACGTGGGAAATGGATGGAAGGATTGAAAAACAAAAGAAATGGAAGTTCGAGATGAGTTGTGGTGGTGTGTGGTGTCCCGTTTGTTTGGTAGCCCGAGCAAATTTGGTAGATACCGATTCTGCAGAGGTCCTGCAAATTTGCAGGACCTCTGCAGAATTTTTACCAAAACTGCAGGTACCGAATCGTGTTTTTGACACGATTGGGGATTTTTGGCTTCAGTACTGTAAAATTTACAGTACCAAAGCCATTTACAGCAACAATAGTGGATGCTCTTATGAATTCATTGCAAAATTTTGTTATTTTTGCCTATGTCAGAATTATTTTTACTTCAAAAGGGGCTCTTCCTATGTGATCATGTATTTTATCTTGATTTCATAAGCTTTTTGAAGAGGAATTCTTCAACCATTCTTTATGTTCTGGGGTGATCAGTGAGGAGAACAAGAAGTGGCAAAAAAGAAGGCTTTGAGTACTCATGCCAAGACCATACAATTAGTCATAAGTCCCTTGCTCAACATCTTGCACAGAGAAAGGGTCTTGGTTCAGTTTAATGATGATTGAAATTCCTGTAACAGCCACACTTGCTTTGGGTTAGGGCTTACTGGAGGCACATCTGGACCAAAATTTGATGGGGATCCTTACATTCTGTAGGTCTTCAAGCAAATTCAAAAAGGACAAAAGACAACAATTACTTTTATGAGGAAAAATAAAGATACCAATATAAACAACATACATAGTAAATATGAATCAGGAATAAACAATATATAATTAGGATAAGGAATTATTCCAGGGACATAAAAAGTATCAATAACAGATATTTGATCATAGCTAGAAAAGAACCCAAAAGAAACCAAATCTAAAACAGAATCTCCAGTTGAAAACAGACAAAAAAAAACATTGCACAAGGAATTGTCAAGGGGTCAAGCCTGCAATAAAAAGCGCGCCCAACGTGGGGCTCGAACCCACGACAATTCGATCGCAGCTGGAAACTCCTAAGAGTCGAATGCTCTACCAACTGAGCTAGCCGGGCGATGTGAGATCTCCCACAAACGGTAGGTTGATCACACCCAACTCGACGTCGCCACGTGACAGCCAGTTTTGAATTGAGACATGTTGGAGCATTTCCTGGATCAATTTCAGTTTCTGGGTGGCATCCTGACCTGAGAGCCATCCCCAGAAACTCGTCCATGTTGAACAATCAAAGGCACCGTCTTCCTTCCCAGATGCACAGTTCCTGATACAGAAATTGTCGTCCCAAATCTTCAAACTTCCCAATATCTAATTTGTAATTTAAAGTTTTAGTGACTTGTATCAGGTTGACAGAAAACAGCAGCAAAGCAAGACACGTATGTATGCACGAGAGCATGTGACCCTGATGAGGCAAAGGACATGATCGAATGGATGAAGAAAAAACAAACAAGGAGGAGGTTCCTGGAGGTTCATCTTGTTTTTTAGTCGGATTGCTTCGTGATCCCTAGGGTAAAATATGAGTCGAGCCATCAAAAGAAATGATATCTGTACAAAACGTCATGATGTAATTGATGACATATTCAAACAAAGGGACAATCGACGTTATACATGCGCGGGGTTAAGCCTCCCTTGGCCAACAAGGTGTCTTGAAATGGATAGCATCGTATGGATTAATACTCATTAGATCAACCATTTGGCTCATTGTAGTTGCATGTTTGTCCGCTGAACGTTTTGATACGCTCATTTGGGAGATATTCTTAATCAGACCATAGGACGTGCTGGAAGGAAATTCAGGTCTACCTAATTGGCTTGAGTCAAGGAGGATGTCACAGCAAATCAGGGTCAAGGAGCAAGCCCAAATTATTGGTAAAGATCAAAGGATAAAAATTAGATCGATGTTTTTGGGTTCCCATATTAATGTTACGATACATAAAGGTAGATAAGAGAGAAATTGAGAGAAATGTACAAAATTGAATCATAACAGACGAGATTGGTATGAATCAGCGAGATAATAAACAGAAACAAGGATCACCACCCGGATCAGTGAAAGTTTCAATGTTGGAGAAGTTAAGGATACTAGTAGAAAAGAAATTCGGTTTGATTATGATGTCTTCACACTTATCTCCAGCTCTATTTCAAGACATGTTTGATTGATTTTTACAATATGCGCTCAACTCCTCGACCAGAAATAACACGTAGGGTGCCCTTTTTGAATCAAACAACAGAAGAATGAATAGGGGTAGGAATCAAGTGGACGCCTAGACCAACCGGCTGGGTCTTGGGGATATCCAACCTAAAATAAAGATAAATCAATCATGAACACTCGAGTATCACAAGTTTCAGTGGTAGAGTGTGATAACTTACTCCCATAACCTTCGAAGTCCGTTACAAACAAGTTTAAATGTCGCTGCATTTCCTTTTTCGAGTGAAAGTGTCATAGCTGTATCATAGCCATTTCTGATATGGGCGTCAACCTTTGGAGAGACAATGCCAGGAGAAGTGCCACTCCCACTGGAACGTTGGGAAACGAAATCGACTTTGAATTTCACCGAAGAGCGAGCGGTTCCCCCTGATCCTGGGAAAACGCAGAGGTTTTTCGAGGTATAAGATTACAAGTTTTATTTACGATGTAAATGAAGTTTACTCACGATCTTCATATCTACATTTCAGTACCGCAGCGCCGTCAGCATTTTCGACGGCGATCACACAGCTTAACTGTTCTAAGACCCTTCTCGCTTCAACACGCGTGGCCGTACAATTATCAACTGACATCAATTGATACGTCTATCATCAGGTATAGCAAATGTATCAGATATTTTGAGCTATGATTGTCATTTGTAAAAGATCAATCTGAGACTTACCACAGGTTTCCAAGAAAACAGGTTGGCAAACCACGATACCCTGGGACTGGATGGGTTACCGTCTTCGGTGAAGACTGAAGAGGCAGGGGAAAGAGGCGACGGAGGACCAGGTGACAGAGAGTCTAGGACCGATTGGCATTTTCAGTATTATTTTTGGGACATGCATCAAGAAGTGATCATAGCGGAAATATTGGGGGGTTAGATTGAATGGAGGGTCATTTACCTTTGCCTTTTCGGAAGGACTTCCTGCTCTTTCTCGAATTTTGATTCGTGGTTTCAAAGGCGCCGGGCATATCCACAGGAGGCGACTGGATCGCTAGATCGGGCATTTCTCTGCCTTTCCCTTTATTTGCCCAAGAGCCTATTGAACCATCGCCAGGCATAGATGTACGCGAGTTTTCCTTATCACTTGTACCAGCAACCCGACCACCGGATCCTTGTGAGGAAACCCTCCGTGTAGAAGAATGATCGCTATAACCTATCTCCTGGGAGCTCTTGTGAGAAAGTAATTGGGCTTTTACCTGCTGCTTCGCTAATGATCTAGTTTGGGCCCGAGAATTCGAGTTTCTGGAGGGTCGAAGTATTGACAGAGGTTTAGGTTTCGACTTTTTACCAGAGACAGTCGGCACAATCGATGGCTCCGCAACAAACACAAATTCAGAGGAAGCAGTTCCATCTGAATTTCGCTGAGAGTTTGCGCTGTATGAACCAGAAAAGTTGCTTCTACCTTGATCATTACCCTCGTCATCTTCTTCCTCGTCTTCATAAGCGTCTTCAAATTGATTGTCACTCTGTTCAGATCTTGGACTCTCAGCGTAGGGAGAATTCGGAGCAGAGCCACCCAAAGCTCCTTCATGTAAGTTAGGCGAGCGCATAGACATGGTCTGAAGCTGATCAACAATATCATGAAAGAATCTTTGCATTGCCGCATCGCCCGTCTGAGGTATTTTAATTGATGGGGTGGGTGATCTAGGCGTTTTGGGTGATGGTGATGGAGGGGTAGTAGAGCTGGATTCGGCAGCTTCTGTTCTTTTGATGATTGATGTACGCACTCTCGGAGCTGGAGATGGAGTAGCTTCCTGAAGGAGAATTTGAGGTACTGCGCCTACCCTTGGATGAACGCTTCCTCGAGCAGGAGTGGTAGTTTTGGCAAGATATGTAGCTTCTACGTCTGCAGTACTTTGGGAAGACTTTTGAGGAGGTTGAGGAAGGGGTCTTGGTGATCTTGGAGCCGATGAATGGCTGGTAGCATCCTGAGCTTGATGAGGTTTGCGAGGAGTCTCCAATCCACTGGGGGAACTCTCAGCCTCTTCTTCAATGATTCGAGGTGTCACTTTAGGTGCTGCTGGGGCGGGACGAGTGACCACGTGTCTAGGGCTTCCGGAAACACCCCCCTTCGGACTTGTAGCAGTGCTCCCCTGATGTGCGGCTCGCCGGGTCAGACTAACAATTGACTGACGAGATCTACTTCTAACGGCGCCGGTCTTCACAACGTGTTCACGGGGTGGACGTTTAGTCTTCGGCTTGGAAGGCTTCTCCTTGATGGTCGGATTGGGGGACTCCTCATCATTGAAGTTTTCGAGATGTCTTTGTAGATATTTTGCCAAGAGGAAGTAGAACACTTTTTCCCAGCATTTTCTGGTAAATACGTTGATGATTGATAAGTTTCAGTATCGAAATCAGAGAAATGAGATATCGAGGCAGTTACTCAACTCGTCTGAAATCAAAGCTTTGACGATTGATTCTTCGCTAGCGCCAAACCACAAAGTCTGTAGATTGGAGACAATATCATAGTCCAGCTCGTTGGCGGTACCGACTGCTTTAGTGATCTGATCAGGAGTTGGAGGGGCGATATAAGCAGGTTGAGGTCGAGGAGCGAGCCGGGTGAACCATGGATGGGATTTGATCTCGTCCATCTGTATTTCAAACGACGGCAAGTATGGAGCAGGTACAATCAGACACGGTGTTTCAATCGTATATTGTCAGGCTTTGTAACCTTACAGTCATCCTTTTCTCGGGGTCCACCGTGAGCATACCACGTATCAAGGATTGGGCGTCACGGCTGAGTTCAGGGGGCATGTAGAACTTCCCCACGCGTACTTTGTTGAGTAAGGCGCCGACGTTTTCATCATCAAAAGGCAATCTGCCTATGAGAAGCGCGAATAAGATCACACCACAAGACCAAATATCGGATGATGAACCGTGATACGTCAAGCCCGATACAATCTCAGGCGAAGCGTAGTGTGGAGAACCGCATGAAGTTTCGAGTAATTTATCTGAAGCTTCGAGCGCGGCCATCCCAAAGTCTGCGATCTTGATATTACGCTCATTATCTAGAAGCTGAATAAAATGGCCTCCGAGAGTTCTATGATCAGAAATGTGCAATTTTTTGACGCGTCCATGTCAGATGATGGCTGCTCACCAAATTCTCTGGCTTCAGGTCTCGATGACATATGTTGAATCGGTGACAGTAGTCAACACCGCAAATGATTTGCTGAAAGTAATGAAGAGCTTCGTCTTCATGAAGCTTGCCTCGACTGACCAAGTAGTCAAAGAGCTCACCGCCCTCGACAAATTCCATGATAAGGTATCTACATCAAAAGGGATAAGGAAAGATACGCGTAAGATGTTTGAAATCAAACCCTTAGTTCTACCCATTTGTGAACAAAGCTTCAAGGATAAAACAACTGACAATTCACTTCCTGTCTCCCAAACATCATAGAGGCGCATGACGTTGGGATGCTCAATCAGTTTCATTATCACAATCTCTCGCTCAATTCCCAGGAGCATCTTGTCAGCTTTCGCTCCTGCTTCGTTCACACTCATTCGGGAACTGAGCAACATGTGCTTCGGGACAATCTTAACAGCCGCATACTGCCCAGTAACGCTGTGCTTAGCAATCTTCACCCTTCCAGACGAGCCTTTCCCAATGATTCTTCCAATCTTCCAAGGTCCAATCTTCTTGGGATCTTCTTTTTCATCGCGAGCGCCCGAGTTTCGGCCTTTGGGAGGACGAGTGCGGGGTTCTTGATCAGTAGACCTCACAGGCTCGGTCTTACGTTGCCTGGGAGGAGATGCCGGTTCGCTAGCTGCCATGACGCGGTCACTGAGGATGATGACGATAAGAAAAACTTCGTGCTTGAATGTAACAGCTGGATTGAATGTCTTGCTAATAGAGACGAGAATTTATCAAGCTAGA